TAAGAACCCTCTGAGTTTTCGCAATTTTCTCATTCTCTTGTTTTAACTTTTTTTTTGTTGAGGATCCTCTATTTTTAACTGTGAAGACTGCCAGGCTCATTGGCCCAATAGATTGTTCGGCCGACTCCAGTGGGCTGGGCTTCGGAATGGGTTTGAAAGTCCAGCCGGAATAGCGTTATTTTGTCACAAATAATATTTCCTCGTCTCTTCCTATATAACCCTAAAATGAATTCGGTACCTTCCTCTAAGAAAAAAAGGAGACCCGATGAAACAAACTGAAAATTACAATCCTTACGTTCACATAGATCTCAGCCTACACTCAGAAGCAGAGAGGCATCGTCCGCGATCTCGCTACAGCATACTGTCCAGGTAACCTCAAGTTACTTTTTCCCGCAGTCGATCCCCAAAAAGATTAATATGCGGTAATCAATTTTTCGGATGCGCTGGAAAGAGAGGAAAACCAGATCGCAGGGGAATGGTGATATCTTTTTAACGCCATTTCTAGTGCATGTTCTTGAATTTTCCTTGACGGCTCTGAAGGGTGGAGTGGAAGTGTTTAAATAAGCATTCAGATTCAATCCTCTCGTTAACTTCCGCTTTATTTGGGTTCCATTGTGGATCGAATGATCTGTCTTGATTTTTTGCCCTGTAAAGGGAAAGGGAAATCCTGTTATATCTTACCAACATATAACTATTAGCACAGGTCACTATGTTGCCTAAACGATATTTGTCTGATCTTTTCAAATGATAACATTATGGTGCTAGATTCTTCGGGTTAGAACCATTTTGATTTTGCTCCATAATCAAAATTCGGACCAAAACTCTCTCTCTCTCTCTCTCTCTCTCTCTCTCTCTCTCTCTCTCTCTCTCTCTCTCTCTCTCTCTCTCTTGTTCTGTTATATTTACTCTTTTACTGTTAAAACATTCTATTCTCTTTGAAATTCAACGTAAGCCAATACGTTATGCCAATATTTCCTACTTATTTCAACATTAACAGGAGCTCCAATGGTGAATGAATAAATGGAGCTTGACACCAAGTTGGACATGAATCAAGGTGAGTGTAGTACAAGTGGAACTGTGGATGTGGATCAAATTGTGCGCTCCGTTAGGAAAAGACTTGATCATTACCGCTCACAAGATGACATACGTCACAAAGAAAGAAATTTATTATGCATTATTAAGGAAGTTAGCAAACATATCCGTGAGGTTGACAGCAATTCATATGAACCGATTATTGTTTCGATTGGACCAAAGCATTATGGGAAGCCAGCACTACAAGCAATGGAAAGAGAAAAATGGGACTGTCTTGATTATATTTTGAAATTGAATCCTGGGCAGAAGTTATATGATTATTTACATGGTCTTGAGGAAGTTGGGGCTCAAGCAAAGCTTTATTATTTGGAAGGTATTGATATGGATTGTCAGGATTTTTTGCGTATGATGTTACTCGATGGATGTTTTATACTTGTTTCTCTATGTGTATTGGCTGATGTGCCCCACAAAAGAGACGAGCAAGGTGTTGACAAACAGGACAGTGTTGAGGTAATTGTAAGTGGAGTAAAAAATGCTTATTCTAATGCTAAAAGCATTGAGAACACAAGGAGTGATTATGTAGGGTCCATGAACGACTTTGTTCCTACGACGGAACTAATGCCAGTGAGAACCAGTGAACAATGCGGCCTTGGCAATTTCAACGAGGAGCATACAGACCAACATCCGGATGCCTCTGATCAGATCGGTAAGTGGCATGACAGTTTCATGAAGCACGACCTTTTCTTGGTAGAAAACCAAATTCCGTTTGTCATAATTTGGAGAATATATGAGCAGTTTGCTGGTAAAGGTAAATTGTCTTCTCTCACTGAAAATTTTTGCGAATTTGTGGAAAATATTCTACATCAGTATCCACTGGGCATCAAAGAATATAATAGGCCAAAAGAGTTTCACCATTTGCTTCATTTATTTCACATTTATTTACGACCAAGTAAAAAGACTGAACATGAAAATGGGTGCGTGTTGAGGCCTCAATTCTTTGATCATTTGCTATACATTGGCCAGACATATTTGAGACTTCCTCACCACCCAGAGAAGAACAAGGGAAACTTGCCGAGGAACCGATCCAAGTGTTTTAAAGATGTTAAATGCCTTCTTCGCTGGAGACAAGCAGTGCAGTACCACGAAGCAGGAGTTGTATTTAGGAAAAAGGAATTTCGCAAGAGTGACCCTCACTCGTTGTTGGACATTAGCTTTAATCATGGCGTTCTTGAGATTCCGTGTCTTGTTATTGATCAGAATACAGCTGTTCTGTTCAGGAACTTGATTGCAATGGAGAACACTTGCCCTGCTTTTGGGAATGACTTCACTGCATACATTGCTTTTCTTTCTCAGGCTATGTGTTCCCACAATGATGTCACGCTGCTCAGCCAGAAAGGAATTGTTGTGCACCAAATGCGTACTGATGAAGAAGTATCAATTCTGTTTGGCAAGATTGGGAAAAATGTGGATTTTGATCCAAATGGAAGGTACTACCTCAAATATATTTGCGAGGCGCTGGAAGAGCACTATCGAAGTCGTTTAAATAGGTGGATGGCGTGGTTGTGGCAGAACCACTTCAGCAATCCCTGGTTAAGCTTAGCAGTGGTGGCTGGCGCAATTGTGCTTCTATGCACTATTCTGCAGACATGGTTTGCTTTCTTGGCATATGTAAAACCTGTAGGTCAAGATACAACACAATCTTTAAGCTGAATGAGGTGCCTGGATGATTGAATTATAAAAATAACGATATGAATGACATAAAAGTTAAAGAAAAGGACGGAATATGTGGTTGGTACTAACGACTTTTCACGTATCTTTCTTGCAGTATTATTTAGGAAATAGACGTGCATATGCATATATGGTTAATAGTACGCGGAAATCAAATCTCACGTGTTGATTGTACGTGTGCATATGTATATCCGGTATATGTACTATAACAACAATTTTGGTACGACAAATTTTCAACATCTTTTGGGGTGAGGTTGACTTGATCACCTACCTACATCTTTCGCTGTTGTTTACGTAACACTGATCAAATCTTGGAGGAGACCTTACTCCAACCGTACACAAAGGGCACTTGCAAACCAAAGGACGATAGGAGATGGGCCAAGTAACTGTCGTGGACTTCAGAAAAATGTGATATTTAGCGATTTTTTAAATATTTAACAGTTGATACTTAATAGGATGCCATGTATGAACCAAGTAACAGTCGTGGACATTAGAAATATGTGATATTTAGCGATATCTAAATATTTTTAACAATTGATATTTAGGCTACTTCCAATGGGACTTTTATTTTTATTCAATAGCGTGTCATAGCAACAATTTTGACGATGCATTCTACATTGTTTCCTATGACTTATGACAATAACTTTTAATCACAAATCACGTATCTATCTATCTAATCTAAACCAATAAAGAACCAGTTGCGAGAAAAATCCGTTTTACCCTGTCAAATGTTACCCACCTGTATATCAACCAATGATTTAAGTCTCACCCTTTAATCACAGCCGTTAGATGGGTCTAGATTGTTACCGGAATGTCACCGATGACGCGATTTGGACATGTTTCAGACCCCTTCCTCGACGCTAATCTCACTCAAGAAAAAATGTACCCGCCCCTGCACCCACTGCCTTGATTAGCCCCAGTCACGATATGCTTCCAAATCAACGCTGGTCTTGATCTCCTTCCAAATGAACGACATGTTTGAATAATTTGGGATTATGCAGGTAGGCGCCGACCGGGTACCCGCTCCCTGATTTCACGCCTTGCTATATGTAACTTTCCTTCCCTTCGCTGTTCCTGCCTTTGATTTCACTTCGTTCCAGATCGCCCTCTCCATAGCCGTTAGCGTCCCATTCATTCATGGGATGCAGACGGAGGAGAAGGTGGGGATGGATGGCTGGATGGTGGACCGCGGTGACCGCGGCCGTCGCGGCGTCGCCGCACGGAGGTACACGACACGAGGTACAGCCGTGACGCCCCTACGCGCCGCCGGAGGAAAGCCGAATCCTGGCGCCATCTCTCCTCGAGCAAAGCCGCCCGCCGCCAGAGAAGAACCGCGCGAGCTCGCGGGGTAGAAGGAAACGTCCCGCCTCCGTCGAGGTTATCTCATCCTGCCCGTGGCATGGACCTCCCTCACCTCACGTCCTCACCTATTCTTCCGTCAAATCCTCTCCTGCGAATCAATATTAATTCGCGTCTGGTTAGACTTTTTTTCAGGCACGCACATGTTTCGTTACCAATGCAGAGGCAACTATCGTAGGAGATTCTGACGTTTGAATCTGAAACTCCCATCTCCAGATGTACCATTCTGCTGCTTTTATGTAGAACCCGTTAGAATCATGATTTGTGGAGTCTAAACAATCGGGTCATCTTTCTGGTAGTGTTTTTACTGTATTTTGTATGCAGCGAAGAAAAGCTCAACAAAAGGTAAATATTGTGGGTTAGTAAATAAATCAATGGTTGATCCATAATCACAAATGGATTTCTGTCTGGAATGCCGCCGTAGAAAATATTGATATATGAAAATGAAATGTGTCTGTTTGACTTTTTGTTTTCCAGTTGCACCGATTTATAAGCTACTGGTAACTACACTCCATGTGAGCAGCATTTTGCGTGCGTCTTGGATCAATTTGTTCGTGTAGCAGTAGCTTGGACAAGGTGACGATTCTTGTGCTATTGGAGCCCAATGAATATGTTACTTACTATATTGTTCGTGTTCAAGAATTGCAGGGCCTTCATGGACACATCCCTTCCAGCCTTTTTTTTTTTTGCGATTACACAATACAACTCAGATACTCACAACGCACGCGCACTCATCCCTATGACCGTACATACGCAAACCCTACCTCTATGAGCATCTTCGAAGACTGCCTCCAGATTGACGAAGTCACCACTGGCGCTTCGCTGTCGACGGCCACGTCGCCTCCCGCTGAAAGCATAACGCCGTTAAATCCTAAAATATTCGCTCCCACCGGGAGTCGAACCCAGAACCTCAGGTGCTACCGAGTCTCTTGTAACCACTAGACTACAGGCCCTTTCGCACATCCCTTCCAGCCTTTAAGGTGAATGAATCCACAGTTAGAGGTGGTGACAGAGGTTGTCCACGCACAGCATCAAAATTGAAGGGAATTTACAGTAAGATGTTTGTATTGCACCATGATATTATATATTTTCTCAATTTTTTGTTAAGATTTTTCTTAGGTAATAATCATAGTTGCTTCATTGATTTTGGGACACTGAGAATAATGTCTCTATTACTTGTCGGTCAATAAGCTATTTTAGGTGGTGCACATGTGATGTTGCTAAGGAATCAATTACTACCTTTTCTTTCCATGTCATATGTGATAATGCATGGCATGGCGATCGACCAAGCCAAGCTCGGTGATGGCAGAAATCGAAGAGACATTGTGTTGGCTCGTGTTCCCTAGGAGCATCCACCTTTGACTTATCAAATCAAATACAGTCTGCTCTATCCAAATCTAGGTTCGTGAGTCCAAATACAGGCTGCTCTTTGCATTCACATTTTGTTCCAAGTGATTTGTCTATTCAACATTGTTGTTGTTTTCAGAATATTTCATTAATATTTCTAAACTAAAACATTACAAACCGCGCTTGTAGACATGAACTCATCATTTGGATGGTACTGCATTTGGGGTGAATTAATGGAATTATTTCACCAACCTAATGTTCATGCTAACAAATGTGTGTCTGACTTTGTACCTTTGATTAAATTGTATTATGTCTTGTCGGTTGCTTACTTGGATCATTTTAGGTTACTTGACACTGCTGGATCTTAGTGTGTTCCTCAGACTTTCTAATCCTTGCATTTCTCTACATGATTTTCAGTGGCAATAAATATTTCTAATTACAGTGGCAAGCAAGCCATCTCAACTACTCAGAGAAAAAATGAATATGATGTTTTTTGGAGAAAAATGAATGTAACATGGAAAATTGGATTAGTGAGATGTGAGCCTTTTTATCCATCAAAATGATTGTCCATTTAGGTGTCATTTGTTTTTTAATCAAAGATGCATATCCCTGTAACCCAAACATAGAGCAGCTCTGTGCTCTTTATGTAGCATTTGGCACTTCAAATTGGGAGGTCAGGAGCTAATTTCTCCTATGTTCTCTAATTGCCGTGCGTCTGAATTGGCCACTTTTTGCCACTGGATTTATATGAATTAGGGAGGAGCTACACTGATAAATGCTCATTCTTTATTATTTCAGGCCATGGGGTTTTCTGGATACATCAATCTCAATCTGATCAGTTGTGAACATAACATATTTGGGGAAGGGATTTTGAAATCCAATGACATCTACAGCCTTGTATGACGGAGTGGACAAATTGGTGGGAAGACATTTAGTGGAGAAATTGCTTGTACTGTCGAACTATGATTTGTTTTCTAAACCGATCAAAAGCTTAATTCTATAAATTTTGCATTATCAAATGCTTTATTATTATTAATATTTTTGTTGTTGTTGTTATAATTATTATTATTTTGCTGATTGCCCAGTCTAGAGTTGTTTCTTTTGGGGATGAATTACTCACCTCCAGTTGTTTCATCCTTTCATTTCAGTCAATCAATGGATTCCTTACTCCAGTGATAGCTCCTATTATATGTTCATATCCTAAATGTTAATTTTCTACATTTGACTAATGATCTGAATGCTATGCCTAACACAGTTTGGTAGATAATGTTTATTAAGTAGATTAATTTATTTGCGTTTCTCATGTTTTGGGGTTAACCAATGATGTTACTTTTTTTTGTCATTTCAAAGTACACGCAAACATTCATAACGCACGCACACTGACCCCTATGAGGGTACATATGAAAACCCTACCTCTATGAGCATCTTTGAAGATAGTCGGCAAATCCTCAAGATTGACGAAGTCACCACTAGCGCCTCGCTGTCGACGGCCACGTCGCCTATCGCTGAAAGCACAAAGCCGTTAAATCCTAGAAAATTCACTCCCACGGGGAGTCGAACCCAGGACCTCAAAGGTGCTACTCGGTTGCCTTAACCACTAGGCGAAGACCCCTTTCACAACCAAATGATGTTACTTAGAACTCTGTTATTTGCATGTCAGGTGTAATAGTCAATTGGGAGAATGCCCCATTGGGTCGTCCAATTCATCTGGTGAATAACACTTGATTTTTTTAACGGTTGCAACATGATACTTAATTTCCCTTTCATTTATGGGTATTTGTGTTGCTCGGGGTACTGAGGAAGAGGAATGGGGGTGTAACCTCAAGGGAATTGTGAAATTCTTTTGATTATATTAAGCCAATGTGAAGTTCCCAGTAGATAGATGCCATCGTATATCCGAGTAGTCCTTGCCCCCATCATGGCAAAAGGGTTAAAAACAGTGATATTTGATTGACGGACACTACAACTCATGTATTTGATTATTGTGTTAAAAGGAAACACCTGAGGCAAGCCCTACAGAGTTACACGTGTAAACATATTTTGAAGTTTGTTCTCCATGTGTAAACATATTATATTTCTTAATAAATTCCATTGTGATAGTAGTTTTTGGATGCTTTGCCACATTATTTGCAGTGCTCTTTCTATTAGAAATTTTATGTTTCGTTTAATTCCAAACTTAGCATGTGTCGATGTACAATATTTCCTTTTGATTATTTCATGACCTACTAACAATCATGTATATATTTTAATTTAAAAGAATATGTAAGTCAAGTTGCCTATAATTTTTATGATCCTGCCAGATGGTATAATTTCTTGATCACGTGCGTGGCGCAAGTGCATTAGTACTAGTTAATACAGTAATTATTGGTCAAAGCGTTATCCTAACGCTAGCATAATATGGCTTGTAAAGATGTATGGAGGGAGTAGTTACCATTTTGGGGAACGTTGATATAATGTTGGCCAAAGTGATCTTTTGATACATCAGTGCATATACGGGAAAGAAGTACAGATACCTACTGCTGTCCTAAACAACGTCAAGATGGCAGCTGTTCGTCCAAACAAGGCCCATTCCGCGGCACGGCATGGCCAGGCTCACCACTAACCAGACCGTAAATAACCATCATAGCGAATGCCAACTTGGCCTCCATTTTTTCTTCTTTCGTTAACGTCAATACGGCAAGTCTCTTTAGGTTATGAATGAACAAGCTAAACAGATATAGTCTACAGTACACTTTGGCAAAGGTGTGGGGGAATCGATATCTTCTAGTGTCGTAGGAGGAATCAATATCTTCTAGGACGAATCAATATCTTCCAGGGAAGGGAACTGCTTCATTTGTTAAGGCAGCCAATGATTCCATAAAGAGAAAAATCACTGGAGTTGACTCTGCATCACCGGCCAAGTAGGTCCCAGGTGGAGTTAGGCCCAAAACCCCCAAACTTCTCTTGCGTTATCTGAATTTTAGCCGCTCCCGCTGTGATCCATGTGCTGCAGCCTTCTTTCAATACTGGGTAACAGCGCTGGTCATTCGTTCTCAAGGGACGATAAGAACGTAGTACTATCTCTGTATGCGTATCAAGGTTCGAAAAAGATTTGGGTTGAGGATACTACATATACATTTATTAATCACTAGTAAACATTTGGGTTGAAGATTTGGGTTCGAAAAAGATTTTGTCAAGGTTCTTGCCGCTCTCAGTTGCCTCTGAATCTTTTTGCCGCACAAAGCCGAGCGTCAAGACATGGAGTGAACGACGGCATAAACATCACAATAGCCAAATACAGTTGTCGAAAAGTGTCTCCTTTCTTACAGAGTTAATTTTTTCGAACAGGCAGGCAGCGGATCAGCATGCTTCCCTCGTTGGGGCCGGAGTACATTAATTTTTTCGATAGCGGATCAGAAGGCAGCGCCAAGATCAGCAAAAAGTGTGAGAAGCGCCCAAGTCCCTGATCCTGGTGGATCATGCCCCCTGGAGGCCTCGGCCCTGGTTCTGGTCGAGGTAGCCCCAGCCCCATTTCACTTCTCCGCAAAATTCCCTTAAAAAAAAATGTCCGCAAAATATGTTTTGCCGTGGTGGGAGTTTTGACCTGGCGTGCGCTACGTTCCATGTATGGCTGCGATTTGGGACGATCCTAGCCGATTTTTTCGGTTTACAAACGAAGCTTTAGGGAGGTGGATCGGAGGACGGTTTTGGTCGAAAGACCGAATTACGACTGACTTTATTACTTCCTCATGGAAGATATGGCCTTCTCGCACTTCTTGCAGCTCTTGCTCAAGCTTACAGAGGACAGTTCTTGCAGCTCTCAATTGCCTCTGATTTTCCTTTTTTGGTCACATGAAGCTGAAACCAATACATGAGTCGAACGCCGACGTAAATATCACTAGCCAAATACAGGCGTGGAAAAGTCCATCTTCTTTCTCAGAAAGTTACTGAGTCCGCTGTACTCCAAATAGCGCTCAAGATTCCGCCCCAAGAGTCCATGGTTAAATTTTCAGAGGGGCGTCCATGTCCTTTCTCATGCTTAAACTGGCGGGCACATGGAGTGTTCTTGATAAAACCACTCCGTCTCTGTATAAAGCGGGCGATATTAGCATGACGAGAAGTATATTGTCTGTGCGTTCTAAATGCGTATTGGGCTCCGGTGACTAGTTGGTTAAACAACTTGTGCACGATTTAATGGTCTTTACTATATACTTGATCTGAAATTGGTATAAACAAACTATATGTGGTACGTATATACTCACGTGTCCATGACACGAAGAGATTATGTGCTCACTGTCCTCGTCCAAAAATAATATCATTTTGACATCGTCATATTGTCCAACACATTGTGGCTGGCCCAACAAGGACTATTTTCTTGTTATCTTGATCAACATATGGGACGCTGATCTAGGAGCGAATAACCTGGGAGCTATTTGAACTATCCTCCAAATTGCGCCCCCTTGTTGACGCCAAGTTAAGCTTCTTGTCCCACTAATTTTGTTAAGCTAGCTCCATGTGACGTTTTGAATGGTCCGGAGACCGTATTGCTTATTCTGCTAAAGATTCTTCTACTCAATGCAGGAAACTACTGGTAGATGAAAGATTATTACGCCATGCAAATTTTCTA